AGTTTCCTGACCTTCCCCTTCCTCCCCGACTCCTTTTCACTGCCACACATACACGCTTGTTTCCTGCACTTTTACCTTCACAACCTCTTCTGTCAACATCCCTGCCCAAGAAGCAGGATGAATAGATCCACATCTGTTCTCTTAGTCCTTCATTCCACATCGAACTCTTCACCAACACCTTCTTAAACCACCAAAGTCCTGCTACTCTGCCTCACTATTGTACCTATTGTTATAGCAACACCAAAAACATCTGAGCCAAAAATAGTTTGTCTCTGTGCATTTGGCTGACCAAGTACTATACCTGGTGGGCTGGCAGATATGTCACCAGACTAGATATGTGGCCAAATATGACTTTCGGATTCACCTGCATTCATTTATCTGAAATATTTATAACCGATAATTTAATTTTCTGGTTTCTTCAATGCAAAAATACTATCTTTTCAAGCTACCTTGGTATTTTAGGTTACTCCTTGATAATTTAAATATCCATCCATCCATCCATCATTGTCTGCTTATCCGAGGCCGGGTCGCGGGGCAACAGTCTGAGCAGGGATACCTACACTTCCCTCTCCCCAGACACTTCCTCCAGCTCTTCTGGGGGGACCCCAAGGCGCTCCCAGGCCAGTCAAGCGACATCGTCGCTCCGGTGTGTCCTAGGTCTTCCCCTAGGTCTCCTCCCAGAGGGAGAGGACCCAAGCACCTCCAGAGGGAGGGCACGTGATGTAAATGCCCAAGCCACCTCAGATGACTCCTCTCGGTGTGGAGGAGCAGCGGCTCTACTTCGAGCTCCTCTCAGGTGACAGAGCTCCTCACCCTATCTCTAAGGGAGCGCTATGCCACCCTGCGGAGAAAGCTCATTTGGGCCGCTTGTATCCCGGATCTTGTTCTTTCGGTCATGACCTAAAGCTCATGACCATGGGTGAGGGTAGGAACGTAGATCGACCGGTAGCTCGAGAGCTTTGCCTTTCTGCTCAGCTCTTTCTTCACCACAACAGACCAATACAGCGATCTGCCTGTCAATCTCATGTTCCATCCTACCATCACTCGTGAACAAGACCCCAAGATACTTAAACTCCTCCACCTGAGGCAGGATTTCTTCCCCAACTTGGAGGGTGCAAACCACCTTTTTTGGATCAAGAACCATGGCCTCGGAATTAGAGGTGCTAATTCTCATCCCAGCAGCCTTACATTCGGCTGCAAACCGCCCCAGTGCATGCTGCAGGTCCTGGCTCGAAGAAGCCAATAAGACAACAAAAAGCAGAGATGAAATCCGAGGCTCCCGAACTGGACCCCACCTGACACCTGGCTGCACCTACAAATTCTGTCCATAAAGATAATGAACAGAAGCAGTGACAAAGGGCAGCCCTGCCGTAGTCCCACATGCACCGGGAACAGGTCTGACTTACTGCTGGCAATGCGAACCAAGCTACTGCTCCGGTCGTACAGGGAACGGACAGCCCTTAGAAGAGGGCCCCCGACCCCATACTCTCGGAGCACCCCCCACAGAATATCACGAGGGACACGGTTGAAAGCCTTTTCCAATTCCACAAAACACATGTGGACCGGTTTGGCAAACTCCCATGAACCCTCAAGCACCCTGTGGAGGGTATAGAGCTGGTCAAGCGTTCCACGACTAGGACGAAAACCACATTGTTCCTCTTAAATCCGAGGTTCGACTATCTATGAAATAGACTTTTCCCGGGAGGCTGAGGAGTGCGATCCCCGATAGTTGGAACACACCCTCCGGTCCCCTTTTTTGAAAAGAGGGACCACCACCCCGGTCTGCCATTCCAGGGGCACTGTCCCGGACTGCCAAGCGATGCTGCAGAGACGTGTCAACCAAGACAGCCCCACAACATCCAGAGACTTGAGATACTCAGGGTGGATCTCATCCATCCCCGGCGCCTTTCCACCGAACAGCTTCTTGACTACCTCGGTGACCTCAGCGCAGGAGATGGGAGGATCAGCTGCTGAGTCCTCAGCCTCAGCTCCCTCCGCGGAAGGCGTGTCAGTGGGATTGAGGAGATCCTCGAAGCATTCCTTCCACCTCCCGACGACATCTTCAGTTGAGGTCAACAGCCCCCCCCCCAGGTGGTGGGAAACTGCTTCCCCCTCCTGAGGCGCCGGATGGTTTGCCAAAATGTCTTCGTGGCTGACCGGTAGTCCTTTTCCATGGCCTTCCCAAACTTTTCCCAGACCCGAGTTTTTGCTTCTGCGACTACTCGAGCCGCAGTCCGTTTGGCCTGCCTGTACCTGTCGGCTGCCTCAGGAGTCCCACGAACCAACCAGGCTCGGCAAGACTCCTTTTTCAGCTTGACGGCATCTCTTACCTCCGTACCCTATGGGCACAGCTTCGGACAGCCGCCCCAACAATGGAAGTGGAGAACATAGTCCACTCAGACTCAATGTCTCCAGCCTCCCTCGGGACTTGTTCAAAGCTCTCCCGGAGGTGGGAGTTGAAGGCCACCCTCACCGGGGATCCCGCCAGATGTTCCCAACAGACCCTCACGATACGTTTGGGTCTGCCAGGTCTATCCAGCTTTGCCCCCCAGATGTTCCCAACAGACCCTCACGATACGTTTGGGTCTGCCAGGTCTATCCAGCTTTACCCCCCGTAAGCGGAGCCAACTCACCACCAGGTGGTGATCAGTTGACAGCTCAGCCCCTCTCTTCACCCGAGTGTCCAATAGATCCGGCCGGATGTCAGATGACACGACTACAAAGTTTATCATTGACCCTTATGCTTGAACATGGTGTTCATTACGGACAAACTGTGATTAGCACAGAAGTCCAATAACAAAACTCGGATTTAGATCGGGGAGGCCGTTCCTCCCGATCACGCCCCTCCAGGGGTCACTGTCGCTGCCCACATGGGCATTGATGTCCCCCAACAGGACGATGGAACACCTGGGAGTAGCACTGTCCAGTACCCCTCCCAGTGCCTGCAAGAAGGCCGGGTATTCTACACTGCTATTCGGCCCGTAGGCCGAAACGACAGTGAGACACATATCCCTGACTCCTGAGCCCGGTCGGGTCCCGTGAGCAAGGACCCAGCCACCAGGCGAGCTCCAACCCCGGGCCTGGCTCTAGGGTGGGGCCCCGGTGACTTCAATCCAGGCGACGTGAACTTCTTTGGTGTTGTGGTTTTCTTCATCAGGGGTGGGGGGGGGTTGAACCGCCCTTAGTCCTGGTCCGTCACCCCGACAACATAGCTCCTAGGTTCATTCGGATACTCGAACCCCTCCACCACGTTAAGGTTGTGGTTCAAGGAGGGGGACAATTTAAACATGTCAACATTAATGATGACATCACCAATAGTTAAGCTTCATATGTGTATTTAACCTACTGGAAATTTTATTTCCTGACACAGTGCTGGAGAATTATAACGCTAATTAGCATGAACCGCAAAAACGATCACTACATTCTCACACATCCCACTAACACAGAAAAATAATTGCCAAAATACATTTTTTAATTTTTTAACCTAAGTCAGTCTCATGCTATGTTCAATATTTGTCCCCGACATGAATTTCCCAATGTGTAACTACGATACATGTACCAAAAACGTTCTCACACAACTTCAGCAAATGTCCTGAGGCAGTTTTCAAAAAGTTTCCAGGGTTCAAGCCAGACAATGAATTAGACTTTTCCAAAAAAATATAATTTTTTTGATCATATGTCAAAACAAATAAAATCAACAACAGATTAGACAATCCAGGCTGTATGTTTTTACCACATCACAGGATTGAGAAGATTGTGCCACTTGCAACACATGTTAAGCTAAACGTATATGGAGAATGGTAATGTCAAGTTAATCTGCGACAGCGAGAAGAAGCAAAGTGAAAGTGAAAGTGAATTATTTGTAATTGTGACACAGCACACCACTGCACACACAATGAAATGTGACCTCTGCTTTTAACCCATCACCAAAGTGAACAGTGGCAGCTTATAAGCGCCCGGGGAGCGGTATGTGGGGACAGTGCCATGCTCAGAGCACCTCAGTGGTAGCTTGGCAGCTGGTGGACTCGAACCTTCCTTACCCACTAAGCCACCACTGCCCTTTTTTTCTAACTAATACATCTCATTAGTGTAGTGGTTAAGAAGCTAAAGGATCAGACATATGATGGTAGAGCTGCTAGTTCAAATCCTAGATGAGGTGTGTTGAGCAAGCCCCCATAGTACACCACTCATCATACCTATCTGATCTTACATCAGATAATTATCGGATATGTATCGGTTTAACTAAATTCTTGCAGCGCATCCTTGGTCAAATGTGATGAAGGGGATACAGAAGCCATAGTGACGCCTCCGTGTAATGTGTGCTAAGAGTGGTCTGAACAGACTACAGACGGTTATGTAACCTGTTTAACTAAACCAGTGAAACATCACACACACGTAATCAATGAAACATGAAATATCCGTCATATCTTCTCTGCCTTAATATCTTCTTTTTTCTGTCTTACGTTTAAAAAAAACCCTGCTACAACTGGTTCACACTGAGAAGAGCAGCTTACCGAGCTACAGGGAAGAAGTGTCTGATTTCTGGAGACTTCTCCCCCGAGTCAGCGGAGCGGGGGAGCAGCCTTATCGGTTTCCTTGGCGTTTCTCCTCCTCTGACCTCCTCCCTGGTCTCCCTTAGTTTAAGATAATATGGAGACCTTACCACTACTTTGCCACAGCGCCAGAGTCCCAGCCTACTGCACTGCTCTGCCCAGGCAGCAGGCTCACTGCCTTTCCTGGGCTACAGACACAGGTCCCCAGTGCCCACTCCCCTCCCCTGCCCTTCCTGGAGCTGAGTCCCACGGGCCCAGGCTCCCACACTCTAAGAAACTCCTGAGCCCAGGGACAGTGAACTCCCCCCCGGCCCCATCACCACCACCACCACCACCTGCACAACCAGGCTCTCCATTTGGTCCCTGGCACCTGCGCTTAAGCACCCCCTGCGTTGTCTTGCCCTTAAACCCCAGGCCTTTGCATTCCCATCGATACCAGAAATATTGTCCAGGTAAAACATTCACGTCATTTCTTGCAATACCAGGCCGATGCGTAGAGTGGTCAGAGCAAGCTCCTATACCATCTCCTTTGTCCAAAAGTCAACTAATATATGGTCCGCGGAGAGGGGACATATCAGATATTAAACTGATATAAACAGATACTACACTTGATCTTAGCCAAAAGGCAGAGAAGCGATGACGCGTTGCTCGCTAAGTAAAACTTCGGGTTCTCAGCACACATATGTTGACTGGTGGTGGTAAAAAGTGTAGCAGAGCATAGGATAGCATAGCATACAACAGCCTAGCATACATACAACAGAGTAACGTCAGCCAATTGTGACTACAGTGCTGTCAACATTGCCCAATGCTTTTTGTCTGTATGACTGCAGTGCTCCAGTTAGGGCATTGTTGCCCTACATACATTGTCCATGAAATAAAAAGCCGGAACGTATTGCGAAACTAAACAAAAATAGAGAAGATTAGCATAGCCCCTGCGCACGGACGACGCGCAAATTCGAGAAGTGTTCCTCATTTCCTAGCACTGCTTGGTTAACAGCAAAAAAAATTGTATTTTGACAGGATGCGACTGAAGCCTGCCTCTGTATCTTGAAGTCTTTCACCGTACATTTCCAGTGTTTACATTTGTGACGTATGTAAGAAAAAAAAGTCAACTTCCTTGAGGATGGCGCCACGCAATGGCTGCGACAACGGCTACCACTAACACCTACTTTAACGTGGGGATGCGATTGTGCAAATTTCCAAGCAAATAAAATGGATCATCTGTATAGAAGCTGTCCGTAAAAAAGAAACCCGCAATTTATTGAAAAATTAAAAAAACCAAAAAAAAAAAAAAAAACAAAAAAACAAAGAATTCATATGGCCCCTCCGTTTAGCAGATGGGGTTCAATCTTCTCAGTTGCTTGTTCCAATTTGGACTTTCAAACTTGATATATAGACACGCAAAACGACTGGCTTTTTTCAGACATGGTGTAAATGCAAATCAGCGATAAGAGCTTTGAGGCAAATATCTAATTTAAAAAATACGATACTTTCATTTGACATTTAAATTTTACGTTTCTTTCCAAAATCTTAGATTACTTTAAACAAATGTCTGACGTCGACACGGAGAGCATGCAATTGAGCCTTAGTCGCCAGCTAATCACAGTGCTTGACTCAAAAGACGCCACTTGTTGTACGTAATAAAAGGAGGTTATTTTTATCAGGGGAAACTTGGAACTCACATCCGTGTAAATTGTTTCATTTGTTCTTGTAGATGGTCCTCTATCGTCTCAGTCTTGTACTTTGCAATGGGGTTCCCTTTTCAAAACTGTTTTGAGCTGCTTCACTCTGATTACTTTGAAACATTTCCCTCTGCTTCTATAAGGGCTTGGGGCCTTCTGACTTTATGAAAACGAATAGAATAGAATAGAATAGAATAGAATAGAATAGAATAGAATAGAATAGAATAGAATAGAATAGAATAGTCCTTACTGTCATTTTTACAGCAGATGTACAATGAAATTGAGGGTGCTCCCACAGAGCCACCATGCACCACAAATAGAGTATATATACATTTTAAGAATTGGGCGCTTCGATTTTAATGGAAGAATTGTGGAAAATTGTGTAAAAGCTGGGTATATAAATACATTTAAAAGCAGAACGTGGAAAGTGGATGTCAGACATCTCTGTGATGCTATTGGGAACGGATTCACAAAATGGTTCCAAATCTACTGGAGTTTTTTTTTTTTTTTTCTTCATCTCTTCCTTTGTAATGCTCCCCTCCTTTGCATTCCCATCGATACCAGAAATATTGTCCAGGTATAACATTCACGTCATTTCTTTCACTGACAAGAACCGCAGGATGTGATGTCAATCGACAGCAGCAGGAGCAGCAGCAGCAGTTTCCATTTTACCATCAGTTTAGCGCTACTAAATCTCAACTTGAATGCCAGTTTTGAAAGCAATGAACGTGAGCGTATTTTTTATTGAACTAAGAGCTTGTGCCGACTGGTGCGAACACAAACTGCGTTGGCCTATAAGTAGCCCGTTTTTCGAGCAGGTACACACTTACGGCCATGCCACCCTGAACACGCCCGATCTCGACTGATCTCGGAAACTAAGCAGGGTCGGGCCTGCGTAGTACTTGGATGGTAGACCGCCTGGGAATACCAGGTGCTGTTAGCATTTTCGATCAGTAGGGGTTGCTCTTCTTTTTTATACTGCTTCCTTTTCAACGTCTTGCCTTTGCTGTGCACGAACCGAACCTTGAAGTTCAAACACTGGCAGTTCAGGAGGAATACAGCAGGCGTCGCTCCTGAAATTGTTTTTGTCATTCACTTTTTTTTTTTTTTTCCATCTCCCTGGATCTGTCTGCTTTGCCACAGCGCCAGAGTCCCAGCCTACTGCACTGCTCTGCACAGTCGGCAGGCTCTCTGTCTTTCCTGGGCTACTGACACAGGTCCCCAATGCCCACTCCCCTCCCCTGCCCTTCGTGGAGCTGAGTCCCACGGGCCCAGGCTCCCACACTCTCAGAAACTGCTGGGCCCAGGGACAAGGACCCCCCCCCGCCCCACCACTACCACCACCACCACCTGCACAACCAGGCTGTCCATTTGGTCCCTGGCACCCGCGCTTAAGCACCCACCGCGCTGTCTTGCCCTTAAACCCCGGCCGCAAAAGTCCAACGCCCCTGGTAACCCAAATGGAGGTTCGCTCCCCTGGTAACCCAATGCATTCCTACGGCTGGACACTTTGTCGTTTTTCCGCTTATGGCCTACGCGCCCCTGGTAACCCAATGCAACAACCGCTTTCCCGAAAAACAACCATTGCTGACGGTGCTGACCACTTGAACGTGGGAATACATGCAGGGGTAAAGAAGCCGTACTTTCATGTGAATCTAATACGAACTTCATTTTACTCATGATAAATCACCACAACCAGAAGATTCTACCACTTTTGGATTTCACAGCTTGCGTTTCTCAGCACATGTCCGGTAATAACTATTAACTCTGTCCTTGACAGAGGGGTAGGACAATGAGATGCCCATGCAATCAGCAAGTACGTTTATCTTTTGCAACAGCAGTGGGTGCACCATTCCCGGAAGTACTGCAATACCAGGCCGATGCGTGGAGTGGTCAGAGCAAGCTCCTATACCATCTCCTTTGTCCAAAAGTCAACTAATATATGGTCCGCGGATAGGGGACATATCAGATATTAAACTGATATAAACAGATACTACACTTGATCTTAGCCAAAAGGCAGAGAAGCGATGACGCGTTGCTCGCTAAGTAAAACTTCGGGTTCTCAGCACACATATGTTGACTGGTGGTGGTAAAAAGTGTAGCAGAGCATAGGATAGCATAGCATACAACAGCCTAGCATACATACAACAGAGTAACGTCAGCCAATTGTGACTACAGTGCTGTCAACATTGCCCACTGCGTTTTGTCTGTATGACTGCAGTGCTCCAGTTAGGGCTTTGTTGCCCTACATACATTGTCCATGAAATAAAAAGCCGGAACGTATTGCGAAACTAAACAAAAATAGAGAAGATTAGCATAGCCCCTGCGCACGGACGACGCGCAAATTCGAGAAGTGTTCCTCATTTCCTAGCACTGCTTGGTTAACAGCAAAAAAAATTGTATTTTGACAGGATGCGACTGAAGCCTGCCTCTGTATCTTGAAGTCTTTCACCGTACATTTCCAGTGTTTACATTTGTGACGTATGTAAGAAAAAAAAGTCAACTTCCTTGAGGATGGCGCCACGCAATGGCTGCGACAACGGCTACCACTAACACCTACTTTAACGTGGGGATGCGATTGTGCAAATTTCCAAGCAAATAAAATGGATCATCTGTATAGAAGCTGTCCGTAAAATAGAAACCCGCAATTTATTGAGATATTAAAAAAACCAAAAAAAAAAAAAAAACAAAAAAACAAAGAATTCATATGGCCCCTCCGTTTAGCAGATGGGGTTCAATCTTCTCAGTTGCTTGTTCCAATTTGGACTTTCAAACTTGATATATAGACACGCAAAACGACTGGCTTTTTTCAGACATGGTGTAAATGCAAATCAGCGATAAGAGCTTTGAGGCAAATATCTAATTTAAAAAATACGATACTTTCATTTGACATTTAAATTTTACGTTTCTTTCCAAAATCTTAGATTACTTTAAACAAATGTCTGACGTCGACACGGAGAGCATGCAATTGAGCCTTAGTCGCCAGCTAATCACAGTGCTTGACTCAAAAGACGCCACTTGTTGTACGTAATAAAAGGAGGTTATTTTTATCAGGGGAAACTTGGAACTCACATCCGTGTAAATTGTTTCATTTGTTCTTGTAGATGGTCCTCTATCGTCTCAGTCTTGTACTTTGCAATGGGGTTCCCTTTTCAAAACTGTTTTGAGCTGCTTCACTCTGATTACTTTGAAACATTTCCCTCTGCTTCTATAAGGGCTTGGGGCCTTCTGACTTTATGAAAACGAATAGAATAGAATAGAATAGAATAGAATAGAATAGAATAGAATAGAATAGAATAGAATAGAATAGAATAGTCCTTACTGTCATTTTTACAGCAGATGTACAATGAAATTGAGGGTGCTCCCACAGAGCCACCATGCACCACAAATAGAGTATATATACATTTTAAGAATTGGGCGCTTCGATTTTAATGGAAGAATTGTGGAAAATTGTGTAAAAGCTGGGTATATAAATACATTTAAAAGCAGAACGTGGAAAGTGGATGTCAGACATCTCTGTGATGCTATTGGGAACGGATTCACAAAATGGTTCCAAATCTACTGGAGTTTTTTTTTTTTTTTTCTTCATCTCTTCCTTTGTAATGCTCCCCTCCTTTGCATTCCCATCGATACCAGAAATATTGTCCAGGTATAACATTCACGTCATTTCTTTCACTGACAAGAACCGCAGGATGTGATGTCAATCGACAGCAGCAGGAGCAGCAGCAGCAGTTTCCATTTTACCATCAGTTTAGCGCTACTAAATCTCAACTTGAATGCCAGTTTTGAAAGCAATGAACGTGAGCGTATTTTTTATTGAACTAAGAGCTTGTGCCGACTGGTGCGAACACAAACTGCGTTGGCCTATAAGTAGCCCGTTTTTCGAGCAGGTACACACTTACGGCCATGCCACCCTGAACACGCCCGATCTCGACTGATCTCGGAAACTAAGCAGG